GAACGTACCATTTCTCCCATCACTGTTATCAAATTTCAAATTGCTCCTGGCCATAATTGGCCAGAGCCAAAAGCTTCACTGTTGACTCAAACGCCACAAGCTCGCAGTCGAACGCAGGTCCTTGTTTGACAGAAAACTGCAGCGTTGCAACTGGCCGGGATTCAGGACTCGGGATTCAGGATCCAGGATCCGGCATTCAGTATCCAACAGTTGGTGGTCGGCAGTCGGCCGTCAGCGGCCGTAAGCAATGGCTGTAGCCGAGGTAAAATTAGCAGTTTAAAGGCCGGCGAACAATGGGGCCATGTCAATCGCTACGGGGCCTGTTGGCAGAAGCGTTGCGGCGTTAAGCATACGCCGTGTAGGCGGTGGGTAGTTGCTCCGCCGCCGGATGTCATATTGCAAAATTGAATTTTTCGGTGCACAGCAGCGACTGCCACAGCTGTTTGCCCCGTCATCATTGCAATGATTTTGAATTGTTGACATCGCCGACGAGCCAAGCGATTCGATTCCGTACATCAATACATAGCCGTATCAGCATTATTTGATGTTTAGCAATTTCCTGATTTATCCCTCATGTCATTTCCGTTTTGCATTTGTGTGCGCTGACCAACCACCGTTGGCAGCCCCAGGACTCGAATAGAAAAAATTTCACAAATATGATAAGCATTGAAATGAAATTCTATGATTTCTCCCTCAGTCGTCAGCCTGATTGTGTGTGCCATGCGATTACGTGTTTTTCAATGGCACTTCCTGCTTAGTCGTTGAGTTACTCGAAATACCTCTCCGCCCTTCGACATCGGCTATTTTTGTGGTTTTTGTGATTTGATTTATATGTTTATATTGCAGTTTATCTCTGTCATTGCTATTGTTCCTGTGGCAAATTATTGGTTTGATTGGCCTAACGAAAACGACTGGGGAAACTTGGAAACGGACTTTAGTCGAGGCTTCGCCTAGACAACATTTTGTCTTGAATTCCTAACATGTTTGATTAATAAGTAAGTTTTCTTTAAAAACATATTCTTATATTTAGAACGAAATGGATTAAGTTTTTAGAAAAATGTGAGAAAAAGTAATGTGTATTTACTAAGTAGATGTAGGGATTTTGTGTTCTTTCTATTTATTTTATTTATATTTATTTTTATAAGAAGAAACAACAATCTTTCTTAAATTAATGAGAAAATATGCATTTCTTAAAGAGCATTCAGTCTCATAGGTTATTTTCCATTTCATTTAAGCTCACTTTAGGTATTTACACAATTTACAGCTGAACACAAGATGGTGCTCTTGGATGGGTTAATTAAATGCGTCATCATTATAGAATCAATTGAATTTACAAGCCACGGAACACACATAGAACTGTATGGCATATAAGACCCTCCCTCGACCCTCGCCCACGCAAGCAAATGGGGCTCATCACATTGTAGCCGGTTACTTTTATTTTTTTGGGCAACATTATTTTTATGCAAAACATGAACATTTAATAGAACGCTCTACGAATTTTTAATGAGCTCCTCCAGCAGGCCACATAAAAAAAAAGACCGAGCAGAGAGTAGATTTCCATTTTTTTTTTTTTTGGCATTTTACATGTTTTATGAGTTTTCCCCTTGCTGCTGTTTTCCTGTGGGCTCAGGTAGACCGACTCAATTTTGGCTGGCACCGCCCAACTGCTTTTGGCCTTGCACTCTCCTCTACACGTACGGGTAATCAAATCAGTTGGTGAGGCAACTGCGTGCGTCACATAAATTTGCGCACATTTAGCAGATAATGAGGACAATTAGCAAACGACCGAGCGGAGTGGGTTTTATTTGGAGGACTCTGCAGCAGATGAGTGTGTCTAACTTATGCAGATTGTTGGTAAAAGCTTTCTTTCCACTCAACGTCCGGCCAAATCGTTGGCAGCAATATCTCAAGCTGTCGCCCACCAACAACCGCATTGCACCTAAGTAAATTATCGTGTTTCATTTGCCAGGCCATCAGTTGGCCGAGCGCCTCACTTTCGCCACCCAGCGTTGGCAACACTTAGTCACTTGGTTTCATGAGTAAACACATCTTATAAATTATTCAAAAACGCAAAAAAGCTATTTGCAACACTTTACCGTTGGCATTGCCAGCGACGCTACCATTCATTCATTCATTTTTTAGCATTTCTTCGATGTTGCTGCTTGCTGGTTGCTGGTATTCCGGCTGATTCCGGCTACTGCTGTCCCCGGCAATCAGTCAAAAACTTTGGCGCAACATATGCGTGGGAGGAAGGGAGATGATGTCGTAGATGTCGCAGCCAAAAGCAAAGGAAGCCAGGTAACAGTAGCGGTAGCAGCGGCAAAAAGCATGACAAATGAAATGTTCAACTTGCGCTTAAAGCCGCACAAAAAGGAGAGCCCGGAAAATGGGGTCTCATGCGAACAAAAATGGGGCGGGAAAAAATCATAGTAGTGTATGTTTCGGCACCCAGTGAAGTAGATTGAAGTTGAGTCTCGGCTGACAAAGTGGATCGTCTTACGGCAGGACCTGGCCAAGTAAAAAGAGTCCTGTCCGGCCGAGTTCACTACTCGACTTGGCTGCGGGCTCCTTTTCCATTCCCTGTTGTCACGCTAAGGCTTCGTTCAAATATTTAACTTAAGTAAGCGTTTGTAATTAATTTCACGCTTAATACTGACACTTTACCACACTTTTCAACACTTTTTCGGTGCCCACGCTTCGCTCTCGCTTTTATGGCATAATAAACACGCATTTTATAATAAAGTCAAAAAAAATTGACTGCATAATTTATGTGCGAGGAGTTTTGTGGCAAGCGTTTTCCTCCTTCGTTTTTCCTTGCCTTCACCAGCTTGGCTTTTCGCGTTTTTTTGTGGGTAATTGATGTTCTTTACCCTGCAATTAACCCACCCCTCCCCTTTCCTCCTCCCCTCCAACGCAAGATTTATGTCCTGACGAGAGTTATGTGACGAATTTTCTGAGAGAATTCTCAATTACACGCAATTAACTCGAACAATTTACACAACAAAATGGTACATAAAAACAACTCAAGCTGGAATTGAGGTAGAAATATTTTTACATAATACAAGCATATAACCTAAAAAAATCATACTACAAATTTTTAGTATTAAAGAAAATAGATGACTTAATTTATTGATGTTTCAGAAAATCTAAAAATGTCAACTTATTAAGTTATAAAATAACATATCAATAAATAATTATGTCTATCTTGGCCGTAATACAATTCCAATCAGCACTTTTAATTCCTCTTAAGTTAATTATTTTTACCAAAAGGATTAAATAAAATGAGACTCAGACACAATTGATTTTTTCAATCAATAAATATTGGTAAAAACACTTTTAATACACTTTTTTATAGAAATTCGGTAATTATGAATCCGTCTGTTGATTTGCATTTCCAATTCCAATGCAACGTTTTTGGTATTGCATCTGAAAAACGCACATCACATTTACAACGTAAATTTCGGGCGAAAAAAGTGTTGCTCTACATGCAAGGCGATTATTCAACTTTCTTGTTGATTCATCTGAATTATGTATGAATCCAGAAATATACGTAAATTCCTTGCTCTGCATTTTATTAACTCCTGCCATGTTTAATTAATAGCCGGCCAGGCAATTAGCATGCGGGGAACCACTCCCTCACGTGTCAGCAGCAGCAAATTGAATTTTGTTAAAATGTAAACTGCGCACATACATGTAATGTGCTCGGCAGTGAGCATATATTTGTGGATTGTGCAATTGTTTACTGTCTGGCAGGCAGAATGAAACAATTAGAGCCGGCCCGCACGGACACTTGCCAGTCCCTGAGATTGTGTAAAATGTATCTTGTCCCACTCTGCACCCTTTTCGCTATCTTTGAGATGAGCCCTGAGTCCTTGGCCAGAATGCCAGAATATTTATGCAATTCATTTTTGTCCAAACTAATAAGTTGTTGCTACTACTGCCCGTCGAGCAGGTTGTTTTATCTCATAATGAAATAGTAGACTGACTGACTGTATGCAAATAATTGCGATACACATGTCTCGGTTTGGCCCGACTCCGAGTTGTTAACATATTCATTGAATCTGATTCAAGCCTTCTACTCCCTTTTGACTTGTAGGCTGTAAAATATGACTCCTTATCCTTGTCCAAGAGGAGGATATGTAAGTCTTCTCCTAAGGATTTGCTTACTTAATTTGGGGAAAGCTGTGTAATTGAATATTATGCAGCCTATCTAATTGGCTCTCGTTATCCCTTACAATCTGGATGCTCTTAAATGCATAGAGAGTGACTAATGCAATTTTATTTTAGTTTTCTCTTTTATCTGCTTATTCTGATGTTATTTATAGTTTTGTTGTTTATGTAGAAAGTAATTTTAAAAATATATAATTCACTTTGGGAAATATACATTATTGTTCATGCCTATCAAATAACACATATATGAAAACACACATTTAAAATTACTTGTAACTTGACAAAATAAGGTATTTTTTGTTTAAACTTTAACAAATTTGAAAGAAATTATTGGATTTAAAGAAATTATTGTTTAATCGAATTTAAGGAACGCACCTTTAAAAATCGACATATAAATTATAATTATTTTGCTTTTTATATTGTAGACAAAAGGTTTCTTTTTATTTTAAACTTTTTTTGTTTTTATTATTATTTTTACTTATAATCAAATAGCAATTAAAAATGTCTTTGAGTATTTTTCTTGAAAAAACAACTTTTTATTTGTTATAAAAGCATATCTACACTCAAAGAAGAAAATGATAGGTAGTCATTTGCCAATCAGATTCCGTTTTATTTGCAAGTGCCAAGGTTATTGGGTCAAAGTCAGATAAGGAGACTATGTGACACCTTGGTGAGTAAGCAAATAGTTGCGATAAGACGAAATTCTGCCAAATTGAACGAAAGGCAAACAGATTTAATTGCAAGGTCTGTTGACAAACCGATAAGTTCCGACCCACTGCCGATGATATATAAGGCCAAGACGCGGAAGTGCTCTTCACTCAGAAGGTGCGATGTACTCAACGGGACTTTTATGGAGCCTAGTGGCTGTCGTGGCATTTTCTAGCGCCACGCCCACTCCCGGGGACGGGCGAATTGTGGGCGGCGAGGTGACCACCATTGGGCAATTTCCCTATCAAGTATCCGTCCAGTTGAACGGACAGCACATCTGCGGGGGCGCCGTCATCGGAGACAACTTTGTGCTGACGGCGGCCCATTGCTTCGAGGCCAGCCCCCTTGGCAACGAGGATTACACCGTGCGAGTGGGCTCCGGCGAACACGCGAGTGGAGGTCACGTGCTCAGTCTGCGGCAGGTGATCGCCCATGGGGGCTATAATCCCCAGAGCCACGACTACGACCTGGCACTGCTCATCCTGAATGCCAGGCTCAATTTCACGGAGTACCTGCAGCCGGTGCCGCTGGCCACAGGAGTGGACCCACCCGGCGAGAACACCCGCCTCCTGGTCAGCGGATGGGGCCTGCAGGCGGAGGAGGGGGGGGCGGCCAGTGCGGAAGTGGGCGTGTCGCCGCAGCTGCACTTCGTGGAGGTGGATTTGGTGGAGGCGGGCCAATGCCGGCGAGCCTACCGTGAGGTGTTGCCCATAACCCAGCGTATGATGTGCGCAGCGCGTTTGGGTCACGATGCTTGCCAGGGCGACTCCGGCGGACCGCTGGTGGGCTATCCAGCGGACGGTGGTCCAGCCAAGCTCTACGGCATCGTGTCCTGGGGTCTGGGCTGCGCCAATCCCAACTATCCGGGCGTCTATACGAACGTGGCCGCTTTCCGCAACTGGATCGGTGCCCAGGTGGGCGCCTGGGGATGGAACGGCCTGCTGGGGGGATGGAGTGGATTGCAGTGATCTAGAAAATCGAAGAACTCGTTGTTATTGTGATTCTTAACACTGTCGTATGCGTTTTATGTTTTTGTGTTAACACATATGGGTTTCAAGCAATTTCTTGTGCCACGCATTTGTGTTAACACAATAACACAAATACGCAATACAGTTAAGACTTATGTTGTTAAATTAAAAAATCTTTTTTTCTCTAATATTATATATATGTTGACATTAAGATGGTTTAGGCACACGAACTTCCAGAACTGGACATAGTAGTTTTTGGTGCATAAAAAATCTATTTGAAATATGAAAATTTGAAAATTACTCATCCGCCACGTAAGCCGTCACGAATTTTGTGCAAAAATTTCTCTTTCCCATTTTTAACCTTGGCAGCTTATTGATCGCGTTTAAAAAGGAGTTTAAATACAAAAACCTAAGTCTAAGACACCTGGGTGTAAATTTGTGATCAAAAGCAACACTGCGTATGAGTGATAAACTTTGAAGCCAATGCGTAAGCCCCAACACGTATTTAATTCAACAAATTTATTGTGTTTTTTCATTAAACTATAAAATGTGAATTAAAATGTAAAGCTGAGCCTTTTGTTTGGGTAAATCCCAATTTTGTGCATTGAATGTGTTCTTGTTAAGTTGTGCGACCAGCAACCTGATGTTTATTTATGCCTAAGTGCATAAGTTACCTGATGCTGACCGCACTCCCTTGGCTTGTATTTCATGCTGTGATTTCATTTGAATAAATCAATTGCCACATGCGCATTTGTTGCCACACCGACCGCAACCACACAGTGGACCAGACCTGGCCAAAACAGTCGGTCGGGCAGTTCGTCGGTCGCAGAGTCATTTTGTCAGTTTGCCGCTGCGGTTTTCACACTTTTTTGGCAGCCCCCAACATGCCAACGCTGCGCAGTTATCTTTGGTGTTATTTCAATTTCTGTTTTCCTTAGATGTTGGCCCAGGGCCCGGAAAAGTCAACGAACCGCCAGCCAGCCTGCCAGTCCATAAGCTTTTTCGCGTGGCCCACGAAATTGGATTGTCTGTCGATGCTGATTTAGGCCTAATCTCGATATTTGGCTAATCGGCACACAGTGGGCCAATAAATTGCCGCGGCTTAAAAATCTAGGCACTTTTGCATGTGGTCTCCTCAACTCGCGGGGCCATAAATAAGCATGACTGTCAGAAAGTAAAAGGCTATGGAAGTTTCAAGTTGGGCAGCCAGCTAAGTGAAAGTCCTGCCCGGATTCTCCGCGTTTTTATTTATTACGTTTGGCACAACAAATATTTGTTTGGTTGAGCGACGTCCCTACAGTTATAAGAAGTTTCTACCGCGCACTTTTTGCAATTTTTTAACTGTATTTGAATCAAGATACTTTAATTGAATTTAATTTGAAGAAAAATTGATCGCTGGTACTGAATGACGTCCCGATTCACGAGTCAGGATCAATCCGTCCAGCTCTTTTCATTTACGTTTCCTTTGTGCTGGTCCAAACCTTTCGAAGTGATGATGAATGCCCGAGTGATGGCTGTCCGTTAGGGAAACTGATGGATTTTGGCCAACTGACGCTGATAAAGACTGTACAGGTAGTTGAATGGCAGCTCCATCGCTTACAAAAGACATGGCCATCAGAGGCAAGTCCTTTGGAACTGCCTAGTTGATGGAAAGCGAAACTTTAGGAACTCATTGAGATTTAAGCTCAAAACCTTTTACAAATCAAATTTGATTTAAGAAAACAAGTTAGGCTAATTAAATCCAGGAAAAAACAACATTCGTATCTTGTTAAAAGGGAACCGTTCCTTAAACTAAAAAGACATTGATCTTAAGGTATGAAGTATAAGGTTGAAATAATCAAAATGCACCTGGGTGAGAATACCACCCATCATTGCTTTTTAAGCAGCCACCTGAGCTAACCGAATCCCCTGCCTTTCGTTTGCCCATCGCTCACTAAACACGTCTCGATGTGTTTTTCGAGTTCTGTAACTCATTTGCAACTAAACTGGGTTCATTAAAGTTAATTTGAACGTGCAACATTGGCATGCCACGCAGTGTAACAACATGGTGAGGGTGGGGAAAGCCCGGAAATCGGGAAATGGAAAAGCGGGGAGTGGTCGGGTACTTGGCGTCTGGGGTCTGTGCCCTCCTCTGGCACGTGGCTTAGCGTCTATAAGTTTGACATTTGCGCAACGCAAAATGACAACTGCAAACCCAGGTTCTGGCAGAGTTGCAAAATGAAAAAGTTGCCAACACTCTGCTGACATTTGCATTTGTCTTTGTGGCAGGCAAGAGGAGGGATGGCCTGAGGTAAGTAGCATAAGAAAAACCTTTCAAATTAGGACCAACTCCCGGAGTTCGTGTCGCACGTCTGGCCAGGTAAAAGAAATATGCAAATAATTAGCTGCCCTGTAAAAATTGTATTCGCAAAGTTTGAGACAACGAGAGCACTGTAGCCTGCAGCCTGCAGTCTGTAGTCTCTGTCACTAATCAATTTTATGTGCTGATCCACACACCATCCACCATTGCAAGTGTACATCCTTTAAAGCAGCTGAAACAAAGACGTAAAGCGAACATTAGGGACATTTGCAATGCCAAGCGCCCTCCATTTTTTATCTCCATGGCTGGCAGCATCTCCAGACAGCTTTTGCGCACTTTTCCGCTTTTGTTATTCCGCGTATTATGTTACCCATTCCTCGCCACATTCCACTCCCTTGTGCTTTTCCCATGCATGCCACTTACATTTTACTTTACGCGCTTTCCCACGCACCACAAATGGTCGGAATGGCGGAATGCCGAGTATCCCGGGAAAATTCCATTGGCGGCGAGCTGATTGCCTGATATGCCCCACTGCTCTGGGGGGTATCACAAAGAAAATGCATGCAGATGGAAAAAATTTCCATGCGTTAGGTAAGTGAAAGGCTGGCAGACAGGGACAGCCGGGAAAAGACGGGAAAAGACGGGAAAAGCCGGGGAAAACATGGGGAAAGGGAGTGCTGAAAAGCACTAAAAAGTATTATCTAAATGATAATTTGTTGCTTTGTTTGCTGAGTAATGTAATTTTATATTCCTCCCCCACGGCTTCTGCATAATGCAAGTTGGACATTTTCCACTTCCTGTGTCTTGTGAAATCCCTTAAAACCAAGATATCAGACTTTCGAAAGCTAAACAAAAGTTTACGGACATACTGGTATATTTTATGCCGAATGGGGGATTCATAAAAAACCCAAGTGCTTTAAGTCGCTCGATTTGAAAATCGCTTAAAAGTTTTGACTTCTTGACTGGGTACACTTTTCTTTATAGAAGCCTTTTAACAGCTATACGAGATTCAATAGAAACTTCATTTATAATCGTTTAATTTTGCCAAGTTTAATAAGGTATAATAATACCTAATTCTTTACCTAATATTGCAAAAATTATTGGAGAACACGAGCACTATTTTTCTTGAAAAGTTGGTGAAGTGAACGAAGTTTGACACAAGTCTAAAAACTGTCTTAATATTGACCAATTGAAACTAATATTTGTACACACTAAACAATCAATATTCAGACAAATTTATTTATTTTCATTTTCCCAATTAATAAGCCTTCAAGTTTCCGACATAATTTAATTCCAAGAGTCGAACTTTCTATTGATTTATTTGTCTCAGCTTGCAAGGGATTAGTAAGTCCGCAAGGGGATTACTTTCTCACTGTATTATTTGCTGTCACTATTTCGGTTTGCTCAGTCAACCTGCCGAGTGAACTGAACAAACAATGTTAAATTCACATAAGTTGTGTCAACTAGCTGAGAGCCAAACTATTTTCGCATTACGCCCTAAAAGACAATCCAATTGATTGGGATTGCATCGTTTTTGGGGCCGCTTCACCTGCAGCACTCAGCTCATTCGGAATCAATTGGAATTGCAACGTAACTTGCAATGCAATTAAATGCCAAACAAAGTTCGCAAAATTCAATTTGCGAAACTAAAATCGCTGCCGTCTCATCTCGCTCCCAATTTTCCGATCCCTCCGTCTTGGAATCGTTATTCCTCCTGTTTGGTCAATTCCGGTAGTAGTAGTAGTAGCTGCGGACAAGTCAAAGGCCGAAAGGCAAAAGGCACAGAAAGCCATGAGCAAAGCTCTGAAATTCAATTCTGTTGCGCTCGATTGCGTTGCATTTCAATATAAATATTTATTTTATTTATATACCAGTGGCCAGTAGCATGGGAATGGGTATGGTAGTGGCACACACAAATGGACAGAGCGACAAGTTGCAGCTGACAGTAAAAGATGTTGTGGAGCCCATTTGTTTTAGTCAATGGCAAGCACAAAGTCAGTTCGGGTCCACTCAGCCAGTGGAGTTCCAGTTGAGTTCTTGGTATGCCAGCAGCCCAATCGGGAAACCCCTTTCCCCTTTTCCCCATCCCCCCTCTGCAGCCACTGCAGCAGTCGAATTCAATTTTCGAACTGATTTTCCCTGCCATGTGTGTGTATTGCATTCCCAACTGCAATCGCCATAACTTTGGCTTAGCCTTGGGTAACCATCTCGAAGTCCTTGTCACAACAAGTGACCAGCGAAGGCATCGAGGTGAGGTGAGGTTAGATGAAGTGAGGTGTGGTGCGGGGCGGTGGGGGAAAACTGGGTGGCTCAACCTGATGCAGTTTGGCATTCGGAAAATGCAATTGCAACCAACCATGCTGGCCAATTTGTACAGCCTAGCGGTAATTTAAAACCATTTTACATACCAACAAGATGGCCAAATTGTTCGACTAACTCGAGATAAAGTTATCTATTAGCCTTGGCATGACAAGTTTTTGCTTTGCATGAGGGTGCAAACCTTTTTGCTTTTGCTTTTTACCATGTGAGTATTTTACTCATAAGCCTGCAACAATGCGACAAACCAATAGTCATTTCTTAGTTAACTAGCCTTATGTTAAGCTATAAGCTTCATCCTTTCTAGTTCTTTGTTACATTTTATATTTACGTGCATTTTGTAAAATCAAATCAAATAAACACACCTCAAATAGTAATAATATAGTTACACCCGAAAAATAATCTGACTTAATAAGTGCTGCTAAATAGCTGCTAGAGGTTAAAAGAACTTTAAAACCGAAAAATAATTAATCTGTTTAGAAAATGTGTGCATATAAAATATACCTTTCCAAACAAGAGTTTCGTTTCAGCTTAGTACAAAAAAATGTTTTTGGGACTCAACATCTCTTGTATTTTGGTAACAAAAAAGAAACATTGTCAAATTTGGTCTTTAATTATTACATTTATCGTCCTTTCTTTAGAATCAATTGAATTTTAAAAAGTTTTCAAAAAGTTTTTCTAAAAGGTAAATGTGAACAAAAGATGGTATCTAAGATACTATTGATAAAACAGATTTAAACAAAAAAAAAAACAAGTGGGGTTTTGTTAAAAATATTTTGTAAAAATTACTAAAAGTTGTTAAATTAAATGAAAAACAAAGAAATGCAAACTATAATTATTTGTGTTCCTTGTAAAATATTTTTTCTACAACTATCTCATTAGTAACATACGTAACCACTTGCACAACACAAAGAAACAACTGTTCTACTGATAATCCGATAAACATAAACCTCTGATCACCTTCACCTTGGTGCCCCTTGACCCCACACTCACATATGCGCTGCCACTGGCATATATAAATGTATTTCCCGGGGAAATGGGTATTTTATGCACTCAGCCGCATTAAGTTCGTAATGCCCTGTGTAATTATTCTTTGTTTAAATATTTCACAAAGATGCACTTAAAATGTCAGCGCAAAAAGTGACGCGCTTTCACGCACACAGTAACACATTAACTCGCACACATGTGTGAATGGCAACCTTTGGCTCAAATGTGTTTTCGCCTTTTCTTTTTGCCCGCTCTTTCATTATGATTTCCCGTTCTCTCACCATTTTGCACATTTGCATTTTTATGAACATTTTGCTGCTTACCCCACCTCACCCCCCCTCTATTTCTATCCACCTCTCTCTAACTCCCGTAATGCATGTCCTTTATATGCGCATACACTAAATATACATTATGTACGTGGGCCAGAGTGGGATGGCAACTGAGTTGGGCATGAGTGAGCTGTTGTAAGAGTGAGCCGGCATTAAAGTGTATTAAATTACTTAAGCTGGCGCTGCAACGACGAAGACATATGCTCAACTTTTAAAGCATAATTTCTCGAGCATAAATCTTTGTGGCTTTTCGCGAACAAACAAAAATTAGTTGCACTCGGCGACAGGCAAAGGAATCAGAAAAAGTGCAGAAACAGTGTGGCCAGAGGAAGAGAAATAGCAGGCGAGAGCAACGGTAAATTATGCCCCGCAATATGTCAGCATGTTGCCACGAAGAGGCCAAAAGAGAGTGGGGAGAAAAGAGTGGAAGAGGGAGCGGGAGCAGGAGCAGGACAGCTGCTACTGCACCCATTGCGTTTGTCACACTGCGGGGGTCACAGCATTTCCCGGAGGCTTTGTGGCCCACTCCCATTGCTTAATCAGAAATTATTTGAAAATGTAAAGTCGACATGTCGACGCACGCACAGCGCGTGCAACCGCCGCACACACAGACCAAGTGCCACCCACATTGCCCGCCCCCGCTGGCAACTGCAATTTGCACACGCCACGACCCCATGACCCACTTCGTGCGGAGCGAGAAAGAAATCTGCAACAAGGAGCCAAACAAAAGCCAGCTGAAAAACAAAAACCGCCGGCAAAGAATGAAAGAAACAGCCCCAAAGACGCGCAACCGACTTTCATAGACTAATGCAGACTTGGCACCATGCTGAGCGCGACTGGGAAGAAAGCCCCAGCAGGAGAAATGGCAAAGGAGGGGGAAAGAAAGCCCTGGCAGAGTCGTCGTGGCTCATTTGTTTGGCCGACAACAACGACAAGACAACAACGGGCTGCGGTCCTAGGATGCCGAAAATTTGTTTACCCTATGAATCCTTTATTTCGGTTGAATATTGCAATCAAAAGGTCTACGAATTGTTGTGATTCTTTCTTGATTCTGGCTGAAAATAAAATAGGAAAATAAAACCTGCGTTCTCATTCCAGTTTGTCCCTTTCTAATAAGTTCCAGTAATGAAAAATTTAAACGTGTTTAATGATAAAAAAATCATTTTTATAATAACAAGAAATACTTTCTAATATTCGGTTGCTTAACAATGCACGTTTAACTCTAAAACAGTATTTTGGAATGCTCCAAAAAATGAAAGGAATATTCAGTTGAAAATGTACATACTTTCCTTTACTTTACCAGGAAATTCCCTTTCTTAGGGTATCGTTTTAGCATATTAGTTTGCGGTTGTGGGACGCATGACAAAAGAGAAACCCACGCCGCCTTCATTTTCATGGCATTCGCTGTGATCCATTTTCACCGCGACTTCATCTTGAACTAGTTGGCAAGTCTGAGTCCGGAGTCCGCGCTGCCACTCCCACTTTTCCGCCCGTAATAATAAGTCATGTTAACCGAAAACCGGGCGCTGTCTTTTTGTTGCTCCGGCATCTTTTCCTCGGTTTTTTTTTTTTCTTGGTTTTTTCCAGCGCGTGGCATCAACAAAAACTTTTCGCGCACAATCAGTTGCGTTTCAACATGGCACTGCATCATTGTTGCAACTGCTGCTGCTGTTGCTGCTGCTGCTGCTGCTGCTGCTATTGTTGCCTTTGCTTATAATTTACTTTTACTTGTGCGCTTTGGCTTTGTGCAGCTCGTGTGTCGTGTAAAATATTTGCACAAGGGGGGAAAGGAGTTGACGGGGAAACAACAACAGGCAACACGACAATGGCACCAACATTAACCATAATAATCTTTCTGGAAGGGGAAGTTCGGAACCCGGACATGCACATATTGCCAAGGTTTCTGCTGTCATTGTTAATCAGCAGCTGGTAAACAAAAAATACGTTAAAAAATAGAAAAAATATTTTTATACCTCTATTTGCTAAGTCTCTTTGCCATTTTGCCAAATCAAAATTTTCAACGGTTATTAAATTATACACTGAAGCAAAGAACCAAAGTTATTATGACCCCCCAAATCAGAGGACAAGTTAGTGAAAAATAAAATTATTTACTTGGCACAGCAGAGCGATAAGACAGCACAACTTGTGTGTTCTTTGGACTAAAATTGGCATTTCAGATTTAGCATTTCTTGTGTCTACGAGGGAACCATGCGCCTCAGCAGCCAGGAACGTTTGCGGGGGAGCCTAAAGGTGGGCGGTTGTTCGGCCTCCTTGCGGCTGGACTGTTGCTTCTTCACGGATGCGTCACCGGTCCTCTCCTCGCGGACCGTCTTCCTGATGAACTTGGCGTTCCACGTACCATCCTCGGCGAACACGGATGGGCATCCGGCGGCCAGCTTGCCGGGCTCGGACGGACAAATCGGGGACTTGCGCAGCATAGAGGACACAAAGCGTTTCAGACCCATTCTCGTTCTCGATTGAACCGCAAGCGCCGGCGAATTTGGTAGAAATTTGTTTCTTTTTGAAGTTGGAAAATTGTTGAAAAATTGCTCTGCGGCTGTATCAAAATGAGTTAAGCGAAATGAAGTATGTTTCATCGCCCATTCACTCGATGCCTTTGCTCCGAAAAGGTTTTCAAAGTATTTGAACTGCTGAGTCGAGACTTTCGACTCGTGAAACTCAATTAGGCCGGGTGCACTCGCTCGATTCGATAATCGATTAGATTGCCCATTTTTATGGCGAATTGAGAGAAGGAAAATTGCTTAGCCGCCAGAATTGTTAACCAAGTCATAAATACATATCTCTGCATGTGTGCATGTGTGTGTGTGTGTGTGTGTGCATGTGTGTGTGTGTGTGTGTGTGTTCTGGAAACTTTTACTCCCATCCCAAAATGCAATGCGAGCGCTTTTCAAGTTTTGGCCCAACCAGCTAGTCAGGCCACGAAGCTAAAATAATTGATAACAGATTATGTTTTACAATCTAAGCAAGGATAGATATAAAACGAGCATTTTAATGGCCACATGTAGCGGGGCACACGTAGCGAGCACCCGGATCCGGATCCGGCTCCAACTTCGACCCCGGCTCCAACTCCGAGTTGGCCGCAAAACGTTTGCGAAACTTAATTATTTCGTTTTGACCTTTTTGTATTCGTGTGTGTGTGTGTGTGTGTGTGTGTGTGTGTGTGTGTGTGTGTGTGTGTGTGAGTGTTGTCGTGGGTCAGGGCGGGAAGTGCGCAGAGATGGACAGTTAAAAAAGTTATTTATTTTATGGTCGAAAGTTACTTTGCCCTGTTTTATGGCAGCAAAAGTCGCAAGGGCGAGGAAACTCCAGTCCCCGGTCTTTCTCAGTGCTGCGCAGCTAGCTTTTTAAAAGCTAAAAACAGTAATGGCTACTATTCGAGTCAGGTAAATCTAAAGGTAAAAATTGTGGCCTAATGGTTAAGACTTTAATTATTTTATCCTAAGATTTTTAAATGCTATAAGCTATCTATCGCACCTTTAAATGGTATATTGTATATTAACACCAGATGAAAAGCTTTTTTATTTTTTTTCTATAGAAAAGTTCCAATCGACTTAAAGAGATTTACATATGGAGCACCCCCATAACATATTAACCCAAGTTTTTTGAGCTAAATAAAAAATTCGAAATTTGAGATGACAAAACTTAAAAATTAATTTAATTGATGTCATTAAATGTGAGTTTATATAGGATAGTATAAAAAATTCCACTTGATTGACATCACTATTGCTTTGGCAATTAAAAACGAAACTAGGTTTTCCAAGTGAATAATTTTTCTCATCTTTATTTAAGGCTGGAGTTTCCCTCCGCCATCACTGAGTTCTTTTCTTGACTCCGTGTGGCCACGTGAACTCACTCTGGCGTGGATCATAAATCAAAACCAAAAAGGATTTCCGAACGGGCACAAACGTGAAGTGGAGTGAAGCTGCTGAGCCATTCTAGGCATGGACCGATATGCGGGAACTGCTCTTCCCATCCTGGGGATCCACCACGGTGACCCGTGCTGTGGACTGTCTGGCCGACTGCAGCTGGGACGGCGTTGGCGATGCGTCCGCGGCGTTGGCGTTGGCCTCCAGCGTGGGATCGTGCTCGTCCTTGCCCTCCATCGCCCGCAGCACGGAGTCCTTGAAGAACAGGGTCTCGTCGATCTTGCGGCGATAGAGTCCGGTCGGATTCTCCGGATCGAACACAATATCCGGACGTATGTCGCTGTCGGTGACCAAGACCCGGGCGCCGGGGATTGGGAGGAACTTGAAGAGACGCTTGCGCAGCTTGGGCATGTAGGTGACGCGCTGGTGGTCGGGCACCTGGTTGAGCCGGCTGGGCATCAGCTCGGGCAGCTCGATGGGGTGGTCCGTGAGTCGCCGCTCCGGCGGTAGACTCTGCTTGATGGCCTCCAGCTGGCGGGCGGTCAGCTGCAGCGGTCGCTCGCCATCCTTCCAGCGCTCCTGGCCGCTGTTGAAGGCGATCTTCTTGTTGTTCTTCAGCTGCTTGCGTATCACCCGCTTGGCCGCGCAATTGTAGGTGATCTTGGGCACGTACGGCGGCACTGGGTACGGCCGGATGGAGATGGGATGTCGCTGCGGCTGGCTCAGCATGTTGATGTACTTGGCGTCGGCGAACATGTTGATGGGCTTGCCCTGCTTCTTGGAAACGGTTGGCGCCTTCTGCGGCCTCGGCCTGTCGTGCCGTCCCATTTGGAAGACGTGCCGATGGCCCTGACCCTCGACGTGGCGCCAGTCCGGTTCGCAGAGTCGCTTCTGGTTGATCCGCTCGAACGGCTGGCGGCGAAACTTCAGCCGCTTCTGGGCGTCAATCAGCAGTTGGAGTCCCGGCACACTCGTCTTACCCGCCGGACAAGGACACACGCCCGGGTAGCTGGTGCAGTAGCGACCCGGAGCCGGCTCCATGCTGATGTGGCGCCGGATCAAACGACTGGGCTTCGTGGGGACACAGGAGTGCAGCGGGAACAGGTGCGGATTGGGGCGGGCCGTCTTCGTCACCGGCGCGGCATTTGCGGCCAGCTCAAAGAAGTTCGTGTGGGTGTCGCAGGGACCGGCATCCTTGGGATCCCGCCAACAGCCCGACAGATTGGAGATCATCGCGTGCGTTGTCGGCCGCCGATCGCGGGCATCTGAAAGAACGAGGTTGTGTATTCTACCATTTACAATTTTTTTATTTTATATCAGAGAAAAAGGTCTTGATAAATCGATTGCAATTTACTTACTATAAATAAGATACATTTAGTAATTGGATGGTAATAATGGTTAGCAAGTATCTTCAGACTATTGTATTTTGTAAAGTGCTTAATATGTTTTGACCAACTTCTATGTAGTAGCCCAAAACCGGGTAACAAAATATTAATATAGCCCTCAAAAAAAAAAAAAAAATGAAGAAAAAGGTTACGAAATATACAAAAAAATGCTTAATAAAAAATTAAACAACTTAAGCGTCAAAAAATCATTTTAAAAAAACTTAAGAAACCTTAAAATTGTTTGAACTTAATTTCTTGCCGTTTAGACACTTTGCCAGAATTTTCTAACTCATCTCGCTATTGCAATTACTTTTGCTAAAAAAATTATTTTTAATTAAAACTTTATTAACAAGAAAAAGTTCGGATCTACTATTTTGCCTGAGTTTACAACTTAATGCACCTTACACTTATGATTAAAGCATTTGTATAAAAACTAGCAAAATCTTATTGTTTGCACCAATGGCTAAATCATTTTAGTTCCACTTACTCGACAGAAAGATGCCCTTCTGCAGGTTCTCGCGCTTGAAAAGCCGGTCGATTTCAGGTGGAATTTCGTAGAAATGGTAGGGCGGTGGCTTGATGGACACGCGGCTGTGGTTGGTGTGCGGCTTGGCGAAGACGGAGCCCTTGGTGCCCTTCAGCCGGAGGAACGGCTCCGGCGGAACTCCGTAGTGATTCGGAGCCAGCTGCCAGCCCCTCCATTTGGTCATGCTGCGATCGATGTGCAGGCGTCGGCGTTCCGGATACGGATTCCTTTCAGTCACGTCAAAGCCCGTGATGTGGCGGTAGTGGTCGAACGTGGCCGCGCTAAAGGCCTCTCGACGGTTCTCTATGAAGATGTCTTAGCTTCCTATTCACTTCGGATCTCCAATAACGCTTACCCCTCTGGCAGTCCTTATTATAATGCTCGCCGGCCATCTTAAATTGCTTCTTAACACGTGGCAAATTTTCTCTTTTAATGCGATTACCTGTTAAAAAATATGGAAATGATTATTTGTCCTGCACCCAAAATTTATCAAGTTCCATCTTACGGGTTGCCATAAAAAGCGGCAGGCTCATCCGCGTGGCCACAAAATTCTGGCGGTCTTCATTATTGATCTTCACTGGTTTCTTCTCCATGTTTGTGGTGTTATTTTAGTTCTTAAATATATACATTTGTTTTTCAAAAACTGACATTGTTTGGAAAAGGTAAATTAAAAGGAAAAGTTTGAATATCTATAATTTGTTTACTTGGATAAATACATATACAAACGTTTCCTGATTAATTGATGCATAGAAATATTTCAAAATACAAATACTAGCTGACATGCAATATTTCCAAATAAATATGTACAAAGTTATTTATTGACATTTGAAGCATAAATATTTAAAGTGCATGGGCTGATTTTAACGATCTGATTTTTAATCTATCTTTAATTGAAATTTATTGAAAACACATATTCCCTGGCATATTTCCAAATGTAATATTTTGAAGGCATTTGCCGGTTTATATTTACGAAAATATTGAAATATACTTTAGCAGCGTATTCATAACCAATTCCATGCTCAATTTATTGTTTGTTTATCCATTTGAAAGGACAACCAGAGCCATTAATTCTGTCCAATTTAAATTGCAGGCCATGCGACAACCGAATAATTTGGTTACTTCACCCAGATAGCTCCCATCGGATGTTTGTAAATATATCACCCAGCCGTCAGTCCGCCCACGACCACGCCCACGCCCACACATATAGTGGCCACATAATTAGCGTAGCCAAGCGAACTGATTAACTTGCATTCAACGATTTTCAATTGAATTTTGCAGTTCGTTGATTTGTGCCAAAAAAAAAAGAATGCGACTGAATACAAAAAATCCGCAACAAAAAGTTGTGTACGAGTTGAATGAAAGCGGAGACTGCCGTGCAATTTCAATCAGCCGCCAAGGGCGGGCGCAAAATGGGCGGGGAAAGGGGGCGGAAAAATGGGGCGGGACCGCAGCCGGAGAAGCCCGAAGCGAAGCACTGACTTTTTGCTGCACCGTAGAATGGGAAAATATGCAGCCGGGCAAATGATGAATGTGAAATGTGCCATTAATTAATTTGATTAAATGCAGGCAATCAGCCGAGCGAGGGCAGCCCAAGGGGTTCCAGGGAAGCGAGGGGATGTCGAGGGGTGGGGACAAGCGCCAGTTAAGAATCCGGCAGCCCAACGTTAAACTTATGGCATGGAAAGGGCAGACAAAAAATCAAAATTAAATTTAAACTTGTTAAATGAAATAAATTCACAATATGTAAGTCTATATTACTTTAAAATATTCATTTTATAACTTCTCAGACCATACCTTAAAATCTTTTTTAAATTCAACTTGTCATATTTGAAATTAATATTTAAATAATTTTTATGTTTATTTATAAACAATTTTTGCACAGATCTTGTGCTTACAGATATACATTTATTACTTTATTATTGTATTGCGATTACCTTTTCTTACTTTTTTCAATGTTTGTATATATTTAATATTATTCTTAGAAAACACTTTTAAAATTTGGGTTAATTCACTTATACATCGTTTTGTTTATATTATTTTCATTATTAAGCTTTTTCGGCGTCTGCGTAGGATCTAATAACCTTTGGCTTGAGATCGTCCTTGCCGCTTTTGCCGCCCTTGCCCTTCCCCTTCTTTGCGGCATTCTTGGCCTTCTTCGCTTCCTTTTTAGCCTTTTTAGCTGCCAACCTGTCGCGCTTAGCCTTCTTGCGCAACTCCACTGTAAGAAAATTACAAAACATATTTCATTCAAAGGAATAATTAATTAATTCAATTAACAGAAGAAATTGAACCCACCTTTGACAATGCGGGCGGTGGCCAAGTTAACGGGCAACGGGGCGCACTTGAAGCCCGCGGGCGGCGCCTTGGTCAGCCGGATGAACCGGTTGCCAGTGGCATAGAGCATGCCCAGACAGGCCTGCGGACGGATGCGACTCTTGGGCCAGCCGGTGAAGTAGAGGTCCTGCAGCTTGATCTGCGTCTTTTTCACGCCCTCGATGTCGCGCCAGTAGTACATCTCGCGCGCAATGGTGCGGTCCCGAATCTTCCAGCTGTGGTTGGGCGGATACTTCTGGTAGCTGGTCATGCAGCTGGGCTTGTCCACGCAGAACCACACATCCGCATTTGGATAGAACTTCATCCTGACTGCTCGATCTAAATAGCGATACAAGAGAAAACTTAAATCTGAAATTTGGGCAGTTTTTGAATTTGTTTTACAAAATGTATCTAAATACAGAGTTGAAAGTAAAAAATATAAATCAAATACATTAAGTCAGCTATAAAATCATGGATGCCTTGATATGAGGGATAATGAAATTACAAGTTCTTTGCCTGCATACCATATTACATATAGAAATTTCTCAAAATATATATTAGCCAGTGAGCCTTCAAAAAAAAGTTGTGAACCTAAAACACAAACTCGTACACAATCAAAATTGGTTAAACTATATTTTTAACTTTCATTTAAAACTGTTTGTGTATTTCCTATAGATTACAAGAATATATTAAATAATATTTTACGATGACTGCGGAAAAAAATTTAACAAATTAAAGAACCTATTTTACTTATCAAGTAAAATGACAATAAATATATAATAATTTTACTTTTTGTTTATTTATTTTAAGTTGACAAGATCTGATTTTTTCGCTAACAGCAAACCAACGACAGTTGAGGGAATACTAATTTGCAAGCTGTGTTTAGTTAACCTCCGGTTTTATCTGCTTAAAATGTATTTTATTCCGCCTGCGAGAGTTAAACTTAACTAAGGCAGCTAACTGCCGGCTAGTTACTGCACTAGTTACTCTCAGCCGTAAAAACTAAGCAGGCACTTGCTGCTAAAAAGTTAAGCTCGTTAGGAGAAGGCGGAAAAGTCTCCTGACTTGTCACTCCAAAGCGACAAAGGTGATGTCGAAAAACTGTCAATTAAGTTTAATTATTTTATGCAGCAAGAGAGTGGAGACGGAGCTCCTTTCCACACACACACACACACACACAATCTGTGACGCAAGGACACTGGCAGCTAATGTGCAAAAGGCGTCTTATGCAAACCAAAAGGGGATTGGGATGGGCGATGGGCGATGGGCGAAGAGGAGGTCGAGGTTCGCCGAGGCTAAGCAAAGTCAATTATCCAAGCAGCTTTGATGCAAGTAATTGGCATAATGAAATTTCCTCTCCAGCCAACACGACAAGGACAACCGCAAAGAATAGAAGCCGCAGCAGGAGCAGTGGCAGTAACCATAACCGTATTAGCATATTGGGAAGGGGAAACGCCCGTTTTCGGATGGGTTTTGAATGGGTTTCGGATGCTTCTGGGGGCCAACTGACAAGCCGTGGCTTTTTTAGTTCTTGCCCTGCGTATTGAGTAAATATTTAAACACTCCGCCATCTGTCGCACAATATTAATAGCATGCATCCATCCGGGCGCAACTTGAACTCCGCTCAACTTCTCCCCCCGCCCTTTTGGCCAAGAACGCAAAAAAAAAAAAAAAAAAGGGAACGAACAGTTGCAGCCAGTGGCCCCAAAGTGCAAATATGTTGCGGCCAAAGCCGCAAAAACGTTTAAATATTTTATAAGCCAAAGGCACTTGCCAGCCGGAGTTGCAACTGAGCCAAAGCAGCGGAAAGCGGAAAGTGGAAAGTGGAGAGCGGAGAAGGAGCAGCTAACTGCTGCAGTTACCAAATCGTCAACAACTAAGGCAGACAGGACAGATCCACACTCGCACACATTTGTCTATATAGTACAGTACGTATATCCCGGTCTAATGGGAATCAGTTCGAGTTGCTTGCTGAAAACTGTAGGGTATATTGGCTGAGAAGGGCGACTTAGGGCAGATCTGTTTGGTATTATCGCTTGCGCACTGCAGTTTGTGGTGCTTTAAATGCTGTCGGCATTTGCGTCTACGGAAGCCAGAGATTTGCTGTATATATCTAAAGAGTTTCAATTTTGAACTTCAAATAATATAGGTAAGAATGTGTTTGTGGCACTTGAACTTGGAGTTTGCTATAAGTTGTTTGGTATTAATTAAAATACGTTTGATTTCAATCATTCAATTATTTAATTTTGTTTACTATAAATAATAAATAAATAAATAAATAAGTGCATACTAAATAAGTAATATTTAAATTTGTACCTCTTTTCAATTGATTTCAACACCCTAGTATTTTCTGTAGCACCCCCTATTTATAAATATCTACAAATTATACTAAATATTTTTATGTTTAATTGGTAAAGTTACATTTCCACATCTCCAGTTCATTTCAAAGTAATACATAATTTAAAGTTTAGTTTAAATTTATTTGGAAGAGAATTTAGTTATGTTCTCAGCAAATAATCAATATATGTATATTTTATAATAAAGCCGAACTTTTTTATAATGCTGAATGTCCTATAGTCGATACGTATTTTTGCTGAAATCTCTCTAAATATCTCGACTCCTTTTTAGTTGATTCTGTTGCCATGTTGCCCAGCTCGTTTGGCATTTCCCTAATGCCATGAATTTTCGTTGGTTGCATTTCAGGCTTTCCCCTCAGGAACCCCTTCCCCGCCATCCCCTCTGCGCCACCACTTAACCAAGGGGATACTGCACATTGTCTTTGGTGGTTGCGGTGGTGATGGCGGTGGTGCTGGTGGGGCTGGGCTGCATTGTTGCATTGTTTCGGTTGCATATGAACGACAGCTTTCCACACTTTTTATCGCTCCGCTCTGCTACTTATTATAGCATTTTTCTCCACTTTCTTGGCTTTTGTGCGCAAATTTCCATGGGGAGGCTGTTGAGCCGCAGAGTTTTTCGTAGCTGTTGAGCAGTTGAGCAGTTGAGCGGTTGAGCTGATTTCGCAGGAACATAATACACTTGTAAAACATGCAGTAACTTAAAATCCTCCCACTCCGGGGCCCTTCTCAGTCCCCCACAAAATTATCGTACTTCAATTGAATTTCTCACATGCGATTTGCATAATTGAATTTGGTCTTGCAGGGCCGCCATCAGATGGTGGATATAATTTATGGAGACCAAAAACCAAGCGAACAACTCCGCGTTTGGGCCGCGCTCATTTCTGGATAATTATGTCGCTGAAGATGCGTCTGCTTTATTTTTATCGATGCGCATTAAAAGGCTTTTAAAATTTATTGATATTACCGACTCTATTAAATTATGCCACCACCTCGGCGGCTGAATACGCTGCCTCTTTGTGTGTGTGTTTGTG